GCTGCCCTTCCAGTAAATACGTTCCAGTGTGATTCTATTAAGATGGGTTATTGATGGTTCCATCGAATCTATTGACTCATTCAGGCCTATGAATGGCAGAGGAGAGCTTTGCCCTATTCTGGGCTATCCACACAATCTCTTGATATATTTGAGCTCATTGTGACAGTGTCTGTTGAGTATCTTTTTCTCTCTCTTTGACACTTCAGTTTTCTCAGGATGACATTTTCCCTCAAAAAAATCTTAGAAATGGATTAAGCATATTAGAAATAATGAGAATGGTATAGGATAGGCCAAGGCTTTTGCCTGTTGTTCAGAGGGTCACTGTGACTTGTAGTTGACTGAATGGCACCTAACAACAGCAACAACCTAGGAAACTCTATGGAATAGTTCTACTTGTTCTTCTATAACTTGGCTATGGATTAGAATAAACTGGTCAACAATGAGTTATTGTTGGTCATATATACTACATAAAATGCTGCAACACATAATTTGCTGATGTTATTATTCTCAGCTATAATATTTTCAACCCCCAAAGACAAATTAAGATTGGATACATAAAGACATTGATAATAAAAGATAATGATGATTTTTTTTAAAAAATGAGGTATTTATCTTTCATCAAAATCATTTGTGTCAAAGACCTTAGAACCAGAACCCTGCAGTAAGTTGGTAACTACCAGTATTATTAGCCTGTTAGTATGTAGCAGTTACAGCAGACCGGGGCAAATATGACAGATTTCCAGAACTGTGATTCTTAAAATATCAAAAGCATTTGTCACCAGAGAGTCCTAGGCAGACAGCCTTGCTAACAGTCACCCAGGCACTGCTTTTGTCTTGGCATCTCACTTCATTCTGGACAGCTGGTGACCACATCATTCCCAATGGTCTCAGATCTTCTAGGCAATCAGGCAGATGTTGCTGTTGTTATGTGCCATATAGCAACCCTATGCACAATACCTCTGAACCCTGCCTTATCATCAGCCAATTCTACTGTCTCTGACATATCTACCCCCATTATGCCAGTTATTGTGTCAATCCATCCCATTTAGGGTCTTCTTCTCTGGCACTGCCCCTCAACCCTACTGAGCATGGTATAAAGTATGTGAGATGAAGCCACAAAGTCCTTGCCTCTATGGAGCAGTTTGGTTTCACCCTGTCCAGAACAGACCTATTAGTTCTCTTGGCAGACCATGGGTATATTCAATACCCTTCTCCAGAATTTCTCTTCCTTTTGAACTCTGTTTTCTGAAGAGAACAATTAATTTCTTTCTGGCTCATGGAAGGTGAAAACCAAGAACTTTAATTGCCCCCTCCCAAATTGTGAAATGTAAATTTTTAGTTTTGTTGTGTTTTGATGTGTCCGCTTCCTATAACTTCTATTGCTCATTTTTGTTTTATTCTCATTTCTGACTGTATTCATGGATTCATGAATGAAAGCTATTTAATCTCTATGACAGAACTTTATAGTCAAGCAGGTTTTTAAACATTAACATTTTATTGTGAAATGTATTATGTTGCTGTTATTGTAAAGTGCCATCCAGATACCCGTGACTCATAGCGACTATATATGTACAATAGCTTTGAACACTGCTCTATCCTGAGCCAACCTCATAATCTCCAACACACCCACCCTCATCACCATAGTCACTGGGTCAATCCACTTTATAGAGAATCTTCCTCTCTTGCACTGTAACGCTACCTGCCCAAACATAATGTCCCTCTCCAAGGACTGACTGCTCCTTGCAACATGCCCAAAGTATATCAGACAGAGCTTCAGAATCTTTGCCTCTAAGGAGCAGCCTGCCTTCACCCTCTCCAGGATGAGATTGTTTGTTTTCCTTCCGGTACATGGCATATTCAATACTTTTCTCAGCACCACAATTTAAAGGCGTCAATTCTCTTCCTGTCATTCTGGTTATTGTCCAGCTTTGTGATGTATAGCAAATAATTGTGAAGATCATGCCTGGATCAGGTGCACCTTAGTCTCGAGCCTGGCATTGTTGTTCTTCAGTACTCTCGTGAGGTCCCTGACAGCAGATTTTCCCCAAGAAATTAATCTTTTTATTTCCTTGCTTCTGGTATCAAGAACATTGACTGTGGAGCCAAACAAGCTGAAGCTGTTAGAAATCTCGGTCTCTTCACCGTATATCATAATGCTGCCAGTTCGCCCACTGCTGAGAATCTTTGTTTTCTTGATGTTGAGCTTCAATCCATATTGAAGGCCTACTGCTGCAAATGCCTAAGGTCCTCCTCAGTTTCAGCAGGCAAGATTGTGTCATCTGCATGATGCAGGTTGTTGATGAATCTTCTTCCAATCCTTATGTCACATTTTCTCATAGATCCCTGCCTCCCGGATGATCTCTTCCACATATAGATTGAAAAGGTCTGGAGATAGAATGCATCCCTGGTGCTCACCTTTCCTGATTTTGAACCATGTTGTGTTTCCTTGCTTTGTTCTAGACTGCCTCCTGGTGCAAGTATAGGTTTTGCATAGCACAATCAAGTATTCTGGGATTCTTATTCTTCTCAGAGTTAGCCACAGTTTACTGTGATCCACACAAATGCCTTTACACAGTAAAAAAAAAAAAAACAACAACAAAAAACAAAACCAAACTAAAAAAAAAGACATTCCTCTGATACTCTCTCCTTTCAGCCAAGATCCATCTATCATTAGCTGTAATATCCCTAGTACCACAGCCTCTTCTAAACCCAGCCTGCACTTCTGGCAGTTCTCTATTGATGTGTTGTTCAGGTCATTTTTGGATACTTTTCGGCAGGATATTGCTTGCATGTTATATTAATTATATTGTTTGATAATTTCCATGCTCCATAGGATCATCTATTTTTGGAATGGGAACAAATATAGATTTCTTCCACTCAGTTGGCTAGGGGGTTTTCCTCCAGATTTCTTGGCATAACATGGTGAGAGCATCCAAGGCAGCATCAGTTTGTTGAAATATGTCAACTGATAAGCTGTCAATATCTGGGGCCTTGTTTTTTGCCTGTTCTTTCAGAGTAACTTTAACTTTCTCCTTCATCACCACAGGCTCTTGATCATACGTTGTTTCATGAATTTTTCTGTGTCAAAAAGTTCTTTTATGTACAGTGACTCTGTATTATTCTCTTTCCATCTTCTTTTAATGCTTACTGGATCATTTAATATTCTGTCCAAAAGCAGGCTTTCATACTGCAACTTGAGGCTCGAATTTGTTTTTCAGTTCCTTCAGCTTAAGAAATGCCTAGCATTGCATTGCAACAGATGAAGGGAAGAATTGTTTAAAAGGAATATATGTTATTAGGCATTATTCATATGAGAACAGCCAAGAATAAGAGGTACATCATTACAAAGAGAACTGAGAGAGAGGAAGAGGTAGGTAAAAGTACAACAATCAACAAATATTTAAAAAAAATAATAGTTAACTGGGGGAGGGAAGAAAGGTAGAGGGAGTAAAATGTGCAACAATAAATAAAATGCTACTATTCTGTAAGCTTTCATTAAAATCACAATTAAAATTTTCTTTAAAAAAAGAAATGCTAAGAGAGTACAGACCTTTTGATTTTCTATCTCCATCTCTTTACACATTTCATTTGATTACATCTGTTGTAAGAATTGCTGGAGAAGCTCAATATCAGCTGTGAAAACTAGACCAGGTGCTGATTGTGGAACAGACCGTCAACTATCCATGTGCAAGTTCTAATTAAAGCTAAACAAGGTTAAATCAAATCCACAGGAACCAGAATTTG